ATAACAACAATCACAAGACAACTAAATGTCAAATGTCACAATATTCTAAAAAATGCGCAGACTCAAATCCTCCCCCGCATTTACGCTATCGTAAACGTTTTTGCTTGCCACCCGGGCAGCCATTTTCCTATCTCCCCTCTTCATATCTATGGTGTGGTGTCATAAATTCCAAGAACCGACCACGGTTATATTTTCGTTTAGTGATGACCGATTCATCAATCTGTATAACGTGTCTGATTCCCCCTGAAAAGGAACATGCTTATGCATTATATAAATATATTAATAAACTCATAAAAATTACCTAAAATTTTCACTGATCAGTTTCCAACTAATAATATCTCGTATATATCTATATTGTGTTACATGTTGATTTTAGTTTTAGAATAATTAAATAGGTATGGCATTTAAAACACATTCTTAGTATAAAGAATATTAACTTTTAATAAAATATTGATTTGTCTTGAATAAGAACCTTTGGTAATTTAAAGGATACAAGCATTTAAAACATATCCTTAATACACAGCATTTTAAAAAGGCATTGCTTTGTTTTGAATAAAACTTCTTCTTCTTCTTTTCAATTTTTGTAGGCCTCAGCTGCCAGTGCTATTCGGCCTATGGTTTTAGGTTAGATGGTGGTGGTCTCGCCGATTATGGCTTCACTTTTTTATTTGTTACGTTGTAATCGTCACTCCCTTTTAATAATTACAATATTTAATTAGTTCAAATATTCCAATATATTCTAATACTTTTTGAGCGCCCCTCGTATTTGGAAATATAGATATTATGTTAAAACGGGAATTTGTCTCTGTCTGACAATCTACCAATGATGCGCTTTCTCTAAAAATCAATAATTACGGTCAGATGTCGTGCGCACGCCTGGCTTACTTATGGATGGGGAATGTTCACGTTTTCACACATTCGTTCAGCTGTTGGCTTTTGAAATTTCTTTTCAATTTGGCTGCGAAATAAACCGGTTGGGTTTAGTGTTGTTAAGTGTGTCCGAACAACTAAGGTAATCTCGAATTTTTTTTTTATTAATGAAAAGTAGAAATTAATTTTATTGTGTGCATATTCTGCTGAAATTATCTTTGAGTTATCTCTTTTATTAATAGTGAGCTTTTCGCGTAATATAAATTCCAAAATGTTCAAAATGGCTGCCATTAATTTTATATTTTTTCTTCTCAGTTATTTAAAAAAATCTTTCCATTCTTCATGTGTTTTAAATTAAATACTATTGCAAATCTCTAATATTGTTGTAAATTTGAAATGTTTAATTTAAATTGTAAGTTTTTTTTTGGCTGACCACATGTGTTGTTTTTTTTTGAAGCAATGGAAAGATACGTTTTTTTTTGTTGTAACTGACACGTTTTTTTCTTTCTTGAAAATAAGGAACTGGATCTGGAACAAAATAAGGAACTGGATCTGGAACAAAATAAGGAACTGGATCTGGAACAAAATAAGGAGCTGGATCTGTGACAAGCTAAGGAGTTGGCCTTTGTAATCTGGAACTGCAGAATCATTGTCAGCTAGTTGCCACTAGAGCTGTGGAATATCTTGGACTGAGTTGCGTAAGGAACTGTAGTGTTTTGAAGTCATCGTAGGCTCACCGCTCACCTACCATTAAGACACGGACCAGACCAGTTCGACCGTTGAAATCCGGAAACACAAGATAAGTGTCGGCCAGGACCACACACACAATTTTTGAGTCACTAGTCAATTTTAATTTTAAACTCATCATTAGTCAAACGTAAACCGTAAAATGTGTTAAAATCAATTAATTTTATTTTCTTTTATATGTAATATCAGTCATCAGTCAAGTTCGAAATTAAAACCGATTAATTGTTTTGAAATTTGTTCTTTTTTTTCTTACTTTCAACTGACAAGTTAATGACAAAAAATTTACTTTTATTATACATCTAAAAGTATGGCGCCCAAATTAATTTAATTGAATTCTTTTAAGTCTTTTTAATTAAAGACCTTGTCATTGACTTGAAGGTAAATTCTAAACGAATCCCACTGACCTATTTTGATCTGAGCTAGGCCTGAGGCTTGTAAGAATTCTTATTATAAGGATTTTTACAATGAGACCCAGGTAAGGGTTAGAAACGTATCATCTGGTGCAAAATATGTTTTTATAAAACGTTTATTAGTAAAACGTAACATATTACACAGTCACAGTACATTGTTTTTTTATGTCACAAGTTACAATTAATAGTTGCGTTGCACTAAGTTTGCACTAGAGTTTAATGTTGGATGCTGTTAGAAATCCGGAAATGATTTTAATGTTTTCCCTGTTTAAGAGTCTGAAAACTAGATCGAACACTGAAAAGGGACCGTATATATATATTTTTTTTATCTTCAAGGATTTGTGTGGAACTTCTATGTTGTGTTGATTCATTGAACATGAGAAAAAAATATACTGTAAGTCCTGACTTTGTCCACAATCGCACAAATCACTGGGAATCATCTTCAGTCTATTTAGGTAGGACCTTGTTAAGCAGTGGTTTGCTCTCATTCGAGATATACTACAAATTTCTTTTCTAGATATGTCGGTGTATTCTGTAAACCAAGGAGACTTTTTAGGCTTTTTAGTGAATTGGGCATATATAACTCCTTTGCACTTTCCAATTTTTTCGAACAAGTCACACCATTCTTCGAAACTCTGTCCTTTGATTGTGTTGATGACATCTTTGTAGTGTCCAGGAGGAAAAGTGGCTCTTGCCACACTTCTTCCCAAATTGGCTAGGGCATCTACTCTCTCGTTGCTCTTGATGCCTTGGTGGCTTGGAATCCATGCAAAACGTATGTCTTTGTTTTGATTAGATAATTGAAAGTACATATCTCTGATTTTTAGAAAATTATCTTTGTGTGATAGCCATTATGGTGCTTTGTGAATCGGAGAAGATTATGACATTGCTAAGGTTTAGCTCTGCTATTTTTTCCAAGGCCATATAAATTGCATATATTTCGGCAGAGAAGATTGAAAAGAAATTTGGGAGTTGGTCGCAAATAGAAAAGTGATTGGGGGAGTAAACTCCGTACCCCACATTGAACGATGTTTTTGAGCCATCTGTGAATATCATGTGATAATTTTTGAATAAAGTATTTATTTTTCCAAGAAAAGTCCATTGTAGTTTGATTGTTTTTTTAGATTCAAATTTACAATTTTGATGTGAGAAATTTGAGAGTTGAATGAGAATAAGTGACAAGGCAGTTTTTCCTAGAGGTAATGTGTAGGGTAGGAAAAACGAATATTTTTGGAATGCTTCGATTATTGGTGGGGTGTTTCTAGATCTCCAGAAACTAGGGTCTCTTGCCCAATCGGTGAAAAGTTCTAGGATACTTTTACGATTTCTTTGTAGGCCATTTCTTTGTCGACATATGATACCGATAAATTCATTAAAGCAATATATTGGTAGGAGTTGATTTCAGATATCCTGACACTACTCTGAGAGCTTGGTATTGTAGTCTGTCAAGATTTTTTAATTTACTTTTTGCACATCCCCAAATAATATACATCCATTGTCTAAGTGGGACAGGACTGTGGCTTTGTATATGTTTAAGAGAGTATAAGGGTGGCTTCCCCACCATTTTCCGCATAGAGAACGCATTAGGTTAATTGATTTTGCAGCCTTGTTTGCTATTGCATCGATGTGAAGTTGTTAAACAGTTTCAGTAAGAATAAAAGCGCTTTTCTAGGAAGATTATAAAGCATAGCATATGAGAAAGAATCCAACCCTGGAGAAGAGTTTTTTTTTTCAAGTGAGAAGGGGGCTGAAATATAGTTTTGAAATGTTTCTGGTATCATTGTCCTATCGTTTAGGGGGATTTGGGTTAATTTGTTTAACAGGTTCGAAAAGATGTTGTTGTCTAAAGGTGGGTTACTTATTTTGTTGCTGTTGTCGATGCCATTGGGAAAACGTTTTATTGAATCCCAGACTTTTTTGATCGGTGTGTCCGGTGCTACATTTTCAGTGAATTTATGGAAACTGGCTTTTTTCTTTTGTTTCTTTGTTTCTTTGCTCGAGTTTTTTTGAAGTTGATGAGGTTTTTAACCGTAGGAGAGCGGATATATTTCTTAAAAGCCTCTTTTTTTGTCTGAATCATATTCGAGCACTCCTGATCCCACCAGGGGAAATAGAGCTTGTTATTAGAAAAAAGTTTTTTGTGAGGAATTGCAACGTTGGCAGCATTCTGAATAATTTCAGTGAAATCTAAGTAGTTCAGAGCTGGAGAAAAGAGTGAGTTATCTATGGTCTCCTGGAAAAGGTCCCAGTTGGCCTTTTTGAAATTGTACTTGGTAAGGGTGTTATTATTGACTGGCGAGTGAATGTTTGTGCCACGAAAAGAACAAAGGGTTGGGAAATGATCACTAGAGCCTGTTTCTTGGAGGACTCTCCAATTGCAGTCAAGGGCAATGGAAGGAGAACAAATAGCTACATCTTGGCAACTTTTATTGGTGTTAGGAAGTGGAATTCTTGTGGGAGAGCCGTCATTGAGGCTTGAAAGGTTATGGTTAGATATGAAGTCCCAAATAAGATGGCCGTTGTTGTTGTTTCTGCCAGAGCCCCAAATTTGATTTTGTCCATTGAGGTCACCCATGAGAAGGAAAGGTTTGTTGGTAAGTTTCGAGAGAATCTGATTAAAAGTTCTGACAGGAAACTGAATATTAGGGAGAATATATGAATTTATAATAAATATGTCCTGTGTTTCGATTACCAGTATTTGGACATGTTGGGGGAGAGCAATGTTTAATTTGAGACATTTGCAAGGAATAGAGTTCTTAACGAAGGTGGCTATTCCATCATACCCATCATATCTATCTTTTCTGTAACAGCTGAACCCTTTTATTTGTGCAGACTTGTCTACAGATAGAAAGGTTTCGTTTAGAAGAATGATGTCACTATGATTATCTCTAATTAGTGGGGTTAGAACATCCCTATTAACTTGATGTTATGTTTGAATCTTGCGTGATTGTGGAGTTTGGGTGGGTCGTAATGTTATTGTCCACCTGAGAGTGTATTGAAAGAATATTTGTGGATATCTGGGGTGAGAGAGTTTGCATTGGGTGCTTCATTTATGTCGGAAGGTAAAGGGGTGACAGATGGAATGACTTCCATGTCGCAGTCTTCTTGATTGTGTTGTGTATTTGTTGCAGAACGAAAAGAAGAGGTGTGAACATTTTTTAAATATTGTTGCCTTTGTGTCACTGGTCCCAGGCTTGCTGTTCTGGAGGGAGAGTTAAATAGAGCATCTTTATGAGCAGTTGAGAGAGAAGATATTGGTTTTTCAAGAATTGTTGGACGTCTGCGCTTGGGAGATGATACTGTATAGCTATAGGACTGTCTAGGAGAGGGGCTATTGTTAATTGCGTTATTGAATGGCTGATTTGGGGTATATATTACTGGGAAGGAATGAGCTGCTCTTTGGAAGGCTGCTTTAGGTGGATTTTTTAGAGACGGGAACAGTAATGATGCATCATAGTAGGAATAATCGTGAAACGCCATGGCTTCATTTATATTTTTTTGCCTTGAAAATTCTTGACATGAGCGATCGGTTGCCTCATGTGGGCCAGAGCAGTATAAACATTCGATTTTGTTTGTGCAAGGGTGGATATGGAGGGTGCCACATTTGTGACATTTTTTGCTGCTACGACAAGAGTTTAGAGAGTGGCCGAAACGAAGACAATTTTTGCACTGAGTGACTGGAGCAATGTAGGGTTCCACTTGTACTGGAACGCAGTATAATTCAAGGTCTTTGGGAAGAGGTCGTCCTTCGAAAGTTATTAGCATGGTTCTTGATGTAACGTAATGTATTGAGCCGTCTTCATTTGTGGTTCTTCTGTTCAGTCTTCTAGCTTCAACTACTTTTTTCCCTTGTGTATATGCTTCTTGTATGATATCCTCATTTGTGATTGACAATCCTACATTTTTTATGATGCCCCTAGATGTCAACAATCTTTGCGGGATAAAGGTGGAGTATCCTTCATCTCTTAATTTCTTATTGAGTAAAAAGTTGTTAGCATCTGAGGGGGTTTTGAATGTTATGCCAATTCTGTTGGGACCTTTTTTTTCTGGACCTGTTTGAAATTCGGTACTGATAATTTTCGTAGGAGCTTCCCAATATCCATTGGGTGCAGGCTGGATAAGGTTGTAGTTTGCTTAGCTGCTTCTACTATTACTATGAACGGGCCAAAGTCTGTTTCTGAATATTTAAGTCTTCTTGATTTGGTGTTTTTGACTCTTTTTTCCAGTTTGTTTATCTCTTCAAGAATTTCTACATCTTGAGCAAATGCAGTTTTTGTCCTTTCACGCTCTTCCACCAGGTTCTGAATCTCATGTTGTTGGATTGGTGACAATTGATGTAGAGAGTTTATTAGTGTTCTGGAAGTGGGCGAGAGCGAGTTGGATATGACATCTTGAGGAGTAGGTTTATCCGGGGGTTCATCCCCCATGCTTAGGAACCCCTCAGCAGGGTATTGCAATGTACCTAGTTCTATAAGAAAAGTGAGGTTACCTTGTGTTCGGATTTATTATTGTCCTATCACAGCACTTTGTCGATTGCACTAATCAACTGTGTCTTTGATTTAATGGTTTTCAAGAAAAAACTGATTTTACTTTCCGAAATCTCGGAGAAAGAATATTTTGGTGACCGGTTTGCGCACCAATCAGACCAAAAAAGGGAATAAAACTTTTAATATGATTCAATCCATGGCACTTTTCTCTGTTGTCTTACCTTTTTTTTTAAGATCCTGATGGTTTTGTGAGCAGAAAACGTGTAGTATGTGGTAGTTATTTCACTTAGTTTCCATCCCTTTTATATCACTATTTAGTTGTATTTCAAGTTTGTTTACATTTTATTATAACAATGTTTTGACATTATTAACTATCGAAATTCGGGTTATCTTCTTCTTTCTAGGAAATAACTGTCGTCTAATTTGTACGGTCCGATAGCCATTTCTTGTTCCGTGGTACGAATTTGACAGATAACATTAAGGGGATATTTGCTGTTGTGCTATTTAAAATCAATACCATTGATTGTCCATGACGTCATGTTATATTAGGGTGCATTTCTAGGAAAATTAGGTTTATTACTTAACTCTAGTTAGGAATAATATTTTATTAGGATGTATAAATACATTTAAGGTCGAATTAGATTAATTTAGATAAGTTTTCTGGTAACTTGTGGCGATCAGCGGAAGTGTGATTTCTAAAATATGTATGGTTATATCCTCCTTGGTGAAGCCATCTTGACTTTTGGAAAAAGGGGTTAAATATGCCGTAGCCATGAGGTTCGAGGATTATAATTTTTTGTGTGTTTGTTGGGAAAGGTACCGGGGGTACGTGGTTGACTGTTCGTCTGGCCTATATCAGACTTCCAGAGGGTTGTTGCCAACGACCCCGTTTGATTTCGTCCGCAGCCGCTGTTCCATTGTTCCGGAAATTCCCAACGCATCTGGGTGATGCGCTGTGATTAATTAGTTTAGTTTTATTCATTTGATGTCCTACAGTCCTACAAGTTCTAAGCCAGTTTCCTGTCCGGGGTAATCGTAACCAACACCAGTGTTGGAGAGTTCCATCGCTTGATAGATTTCTACTAGAAATCAGGTATCTGAAAATCTGCAAACCAAGGTATGAAAGAACTTCAGTCTAATAACTTCAGTGACACTAGTAATTTATATTTCTATTTATCATTTAACTTTCATTTGTAATAATAATTCTGTAACTGTATTAATTGTGCTTAATCTTAACCTGCTGTAAGCCTTAGTGATCACGGGGTAATATTAATTGTTTCTTTTACTCTATTAATTTTGAATTCAGCGAATTCCTCTTTAACTTAAGTATTTTCCTTGTCATTTTGTATCATATCGATAGTAAAACCATAGAGATCCTATTGGTGGGAGTCTCTGATTTAGGTTAGTTTTAAAAGTGCTATAGGTAAATGTATACCTATCTATCTGAAATTTCATAAGAACACGTATTTTTCAAAAATAGTAAATGCCATAATACCGACTCTTGCGTTTTATTTATTTAACTTTAAGGATAATCAGTATTACTAACTATTTAATGACCCACACCTTTTGTCCCGACAGCTAGCTGAAGTGGCCTTCTTCTCTGAGCTCTAGGAAAACACTATAACCTTTTTTTGTAACGGTTTTCTAAATTCTAAATAATAATATAAAAAATTTAGGAGGTTATCAACTAACACCGATCTTTGAGTAGTAGTAAATATATCCCGAATTAACTACTTAAGAAGCCGAAATCCGTTTTTAAAAACAAATTTTATTAATTATTTAATTTACAAAAATATTTTATGTGCAATATATGACTTAACTATAGAAATGGTTAATAATGAATGACGCCGGGTTCCATGCACTTCGCCCAGAGACCTCCGGCTAAGCAAACTGCAAGGATGGCAGTTTGCGCTGAAATTCCTGCAAGGTCATCAGAAGGGCTGATATGACTCCTCCCACCGAAGTTTCAACTCACGAGGGTAGATGAGGGAGTTGAATGGATGGTGATGGCACCACTGGACCTTGGGATGTTGATGTCTCCTTCCAGGGGTAAAAATTCTTGTAGGCAAAGGCTGCGATTGCTCCCGTTATCATAATGTAGATGACTATGGTCCACACGCTGGGTATATGGGATATACCAGTTGTCCAAAACAAGGGATGGTTTTCTGTAGCTTGGTGTAGGATATCTGACAGCTGATCTAACTTGATATCTTCTAAGGGCACTCCTGATTTTAGGGATGGCAGTGTGTCGTTCGTGATTTGAATGTCAGGAAGAAGTATTGGTTGGCTATTGGCTATTGACTTTTCATTGGCAAGCGTCTCTAGTGGTGATTGAATTTGGCATCCTATTGGAATTTCGATTAAAAACGTTCCTTTTAACTTTTTGACTTCTTGTTGTTCGTTGCAGGTAACCTGTATGACTTCCTCGTTTGGAAATACACCTATCCAGTTATTGGTGTTTCTCAATTGATTAAATTTTGAGTTTGATAGAGGAAAATGAATTTGCTTGCATCGTGAGGTGTTTTTCATATCCAAAACAAGAAGCTCACAGGGCGTAAGGCTGCTAATTTCTTCTATTTCTTGTTTGTCGCAAATATAATTTTTGAGGGGAATTTTGACGCAATTGTCGTTTCGAAAAGTAAAGTGTAACTGACTTTTTAACATGAATTTATTTCTGGGAATGATTACCTTGAACTGACCCTTATGAGGGACGGGTAGTGAATATAAATGATAAATATTGAAGTTATCTGGGTAAGTTATAGGGATATTAAGAATATAGGTTATTTTATTTTTATAAATGTAGCATTCAATTTTTATTATGGATTCGTACAATTGTGTAGTTTCTAAACTAATTTCAAAAGGAAGTTGTGATTTTTGAATTTTATTTTCTATTGATTTTAGAGCTAAAAAGAGATCTGTTGTTTTCATTATACTAGGATGCATTATTTTTAATCTTGCAAAAGTTAAAGAGTTTTCTATATCCTGTAATATTGAAAGAATTATTTCGTACATGTTCAAAATTTGATTTATCACATCCTTAATAAATAGTGAATTTTCTCTGTAAATTACTGAATTAACTATTAATTTGATTTGCTCTATTTTTGAATCTAATAACTTTTCATTATGACTAATTTTTCTGAATAGTAGCATTAAAAGTTTTTATTGTATTGATAGAAAGTGAAATTTGTGAGTTTAAGTTGGATGCTAATTGTTCTTGATTTTTCTGCAGATTATCTATTAAATTTTCATATCTCTCGCCATCTGAGGCATCTAAGTTGCCTGTAATACATTTAAAAACTGAACCTAGCCCATTAATTAGACGTCTTTTGGAACGTTGTGGTTTTGGAATAATGTTAAATAGTTTTGTATCCACTTTATCTATAGTAAATTCTAATATTTTTATGTAATTAGAGATATCCCATGAATAATTTTGATTTTTATTTACCGCGTATAGAATTTGAGAAGTTTTAGAATTTAATTTTTCGATTTCGTTTATTATTGGATTTAAATCATAAAAATGCACAATTTTGTAAGAATATTCTTCAATTTTTGCTGAGCCTAACTTAAGGGGGAGTAATGCTAAGTTGTTGTCCAAATTTCTGAAGGAGATTTGTTCCCGAAGCCCAAGTACAATGGGAAACCTGAAAAATTAATTAAAATGAGTACGTTCTTTGACGTGGTCTTTTGAGATTGTCCATATGGACTTTATTCTGGAGGGATGTAGCCACGATTTTACCACTTTTACTAACTGCTGTTATTTCAGTGGGTTTTTCAAATTTATTTGCGGTCTTTTTCCTTTCATGAGATTTTATATAAGTTTCGTCGCCTACTTTGAACAATTCTGGGGAATCGCGATTTGTATTAATTTTTTCCGATAACCTTTTCTTTTTGTTTTATGAGGTTTTCATTTATTTTAGCATACATTTCGCGTGTCATTTCTTTGTGTTCTTCTATAAAATTACTAGTTAATATCATGTCCATATTTAAGCCGAAAGGATTTTCAGTTTTTAAGTGACCATTAATAACATCTATTGGTTTTAATTTTGTGGACGAATGTATGGTATGATTATAAGCTAAAAGGGCATATTTCATTTTCATTCGGATTGGGGTTTTGCTAAAACCACGAGTGTTTAGTAATCTTATGTGTTCATTAAAGGTCGAGTGTACCTTTTCAACTGGGGAGTTTGACTGTGGATGGTACGGAGAACAAAAATGTACTTTTACTTTGTGGAGATCTAATAATTCTGTGATTACAGTATTTTTAAATTCGGTGCCATTATCAGTTATTATTTGATTTGGTATTCCATGATGGGAAAAGAAAGTAATTAGGTTATTAGCAATTTCTGTTGACTCTAATGCTACTAAATGATAGGCTTGGGCGTATTTGGAAAAAGTATCGATAATTGTCAAAAATTTTTCTGTTTCGGCGGTATAGGTATCAATATGAATTATTTCGAAAGGTTTCACTGCTGTGGGGGGTAATATTCATTTGGATTTTAACAGGGTTCCTTTCATATTTGCAACGCTGGCATATTTCACAATCATTAATATATGTTTGTATTGATTCCTTTAAATTTGGCCAATAATAAATATTTTTAATTTTATTATAAGTTTCGCTTATTCCGCGGTGGTTAGTTTTTCCTTCATGGAAAGCTTTAATTGTTTCTGGGATTTCTGCTTTAGTGGTAATATCGATTAATTTGGAATTACATTTCCGAAGTTTAAGTGAGGGCCATTTAAAATTTTTCCTAATTACTTCACAAAATGGTTCAAACATTTGAGACTTTGCAAAATATAAATAATATTGTACGTTAGGGGCAATGTAGTCTTTTATAAAATTTATTATGTCTTGTTCAAAATTACTGTCGGAAATTTGGACAGTAATTCTTTGTTTACGTTCAAATAAAATTTTAATTATCGGTTTGGCTGGTGAATGAAAG